ATTCTATTATTGTCTGCCCACGTACATCTTGCTCTTCCTAGTGATCTCTTTCCTTCTGGCTTTCCCACAAATATTCTATATGCATTCCTCTTCTCACCCATTCGTGCTACATGCCCTGCCAACCTAATCCTCCTTGACTAGATCATTCTAATTATACTTGGAGAAGAGTACAAGTTATGAAGCTGATGAATTAGTATAATTATAAATTATACTCTGTTCGAAATATTTACGGATGTCATGTAAATAAATCATCAGCGACAGGCAGTACCGAGTTTGCTTCTTATTAGCTTCCAGACCGGAGAAATATTCTTCGCATGTTACACACGTTGCTTCTGATGACTGCAGCATTAGCACGTTAAGACACAACGGATATCGGATTCTAAGGAGTTCTGACAATGGTGCATAATGCTCAGAATTGCTGGGATTTTGGACTTCCTCCATCGTCCGGTATTCTAGAAAGTAGAAAACACAGCGTTTCGAGAACTGAACCTGTTTCCGTCCTCAGTTGTGTGGAGACACCTAGTCTATTGGATCCCTGAGAAGAAGTGATTGCGGTTAGCGCTTTCTAAGAGATCCAACAGAGTAGTTGTTTCTTCTCAACACCTGAGGACAGAAACAGATCCAATTTCCGAAACATGTTGTTTTCTAATTTCTAGAATACCGGACGATGGACGAAGTTAAAAACCCAGCAATTTTGACAAAGGATATTGCTGAATAGTCAGCGAATTTTAAACTGTGCTTTGCACTTGCCCTGACACCTGCCTCCCCTTTCTTTACCCATACTTCGTAGACATTCCAAATAAAGCATAATATGTCATAATTACAAAATACGTCGGTTTTTTCATTGCTTAGTTTCGAATTATATATATTCTTAACAGCTTAAAGTTACCAGACGTACCTTAAATATTTACGGCCTCACCAAGTTCGAATTTTTTAACGCGCGAAAAACAATATTGCTTCATACAGATTTCGTAGATCTGCTCCAAACCTCGTATAGTCCATGTTTTCAATATATTTGTTTCAGGCAGAGGGGAGATACTGCTATGAATATGCACCTACATTTAGCATATCTCAATTAAAATTTTCGTGTCACTGAAAAATCGTGGTGGGGAGGAAACTCCACAAGGAATAATTGTGTCACACAAGTAAACAGTTTCCTTACTATGTTAACCTGTGTAACCAGAGCCTTTGCGGAAACCCGTTTCGAAATATTTACAAGTGGTTATAAATACGCATTAATAGCTGAAAGTCAAAAGTACCTCAAGAAAATTAATTCGAATGTTCCAATAGTTAAAACAATTTATCATAATAGAAAAATGAACAATCAAAATGAAAAATGAAGTTTTCATAATGGTCCTATATCACAACGTTTAGCCTCCTTTCTTATTCGTTTTTCTTAACTTAATATAATTTTATTTAAACTTATTTTTGAAAAGTAAAACAACACGGCGGTCGTTCAAAATGTATCTTTAATTTTAGATTTTGTAATAGTTGGAAGTATTTGAGAGGAACTTGGCTTTATGTGTTATTTCGAGTATTTATTATATTGACTATATAAATTAATTTTCAAACGAATCAATACGGTGGCTGTTCTATAAAGGCAAACTATCACCTGACCGCTGGAGTCTGAATAAAATCACAATTGAAGAAAAGAAGAAAAAACGCTAAATATTAATAATATTAAATGTATATAAAAATTGTTTTTTCTATTCTTCTTTTTTAAGGGACGTCATCAAAAATAGTCTCAAACGACTTATAATTAAGACTGTGAGGATATATCTGACTGTCTCCCTGTAAAACTAGCTGATACTCATAGAAAAGCACACTGTGGCGCCCATGAACCATACTTTTGCACCCAGAAGCTATGTTCCAGCTTACACTATACACTTTTTGTGGTAATCAAAATGAAAGTATCTGGGCGCATTTGTTCACCGTTACAAACATAGGTAAATGGTGAGGTCATCAGCTCGTTGATTAATGCCGCTATATCTTATCACAAGGTTTATAAAACCTTCTACGAGAAGTCCATTGTAGTTTAGTCGGAATCGTAGTTTAACGGGTCGGTCGCTTTCCTGGGGTGAATGCGGTGTGGTGGTTCTGTGAAAGGTACAATAGGGGTGAGCCAGGATAAGTAATCATCATAAATATCTCGCGAGAGAGATGCAGTAGCTCAGTTACAATTCTTGTGAAAAATTTCAGGGAGTACGCCGAAGTTCATGAGAAAAATATACAAAAATAATCTTGCGTCAGAGTTATGAATCAAAAGTGCATTGTCAAGTAAAATATTTTGGCCAAGAATGGTTGCATCTGACGCTTGAAAATCAATAGACTGTATGTAATCAGTCAACAGGAAATTCAGATTAGTGGAAAACTCCCGTAGAAATTCCAGAGGAAATAAATTGTAAGATTTGAGGTGTGCGTGAGCGTGAGCAGGTGTTAACAGATTTCTAACTAACCTACTCACGCTGGTTCCTTGCTCGCGGATTTTATTCTCTTTTCTTCTACCCTGAAGATGGAGGCGATAAGTTCCCCCGAAACGTCGGTTAACACAATATCTATACGGCGCCACATCCCAGAAGACTGTTTTTTTTCAGGAAATAAATTGTTTCACATTGTTTGTAACCGTTCACTAGAATTAAGATTACTATAAATTGTGTTAATTAAGAACAATTAAGTCGAAACTATAACTTATGAGTAAGAAGTAACCAGTTACACACATTTTTGCATTCAGAAAGGGCCATAAACTCATTCTTGCTGTGTGCACATAATGTAGTACTCGCTACGCTTCGTGGAATTTTAGTGGTTTGAGCTACGGCGGCATATCTATGGAAATCTGAGATTTGACAGCTAGTGCAATCTGTAACTCAAGGATGAGCTACGGCGACATATCTATTGAAATCTGAGATATGACAGCTAGTGCAATCTCTAACTCAAGAATATGTGGGCCAGAGACTCACTCCAAGCTGATTATACATGAAGTACATGAAGATGCTGTCAGAAGTTGCAGCTGAGTGTTTAAGAGTTAAAATCGTGCAATAAATCCGTATCATTCGGAAATGTATTAAGTTTCTGGAGAGCCCATTCGCCAAATTACTCCTTTCCAAGATTCTGAAGTCTACGGACGCAAAGCTGCTTCACGCGTCACCGTCAGTCTTGTACCTTATTAATGTTTATACAAGTTCACTTAGTAAAAGAAGAAGTTTGCCAGAAATCCGAGCTGTACAAGAATAAACATACAATCAGTAAGTGATCACTTAGCGGCCTCCGTAGTCTAGGGGTAACGTTCCCACCTCATGACTCAAGGTACGCGGGTTCAAAAACCCGGCGGAGGTCGTGGAATTTTTAAGTGCGGAAAAATTCAGGGAACAAGTCCTCCGGGAGGGCCTTTAAGCCGTGGGTCCCGTGTCGTAGATTTACGGCACGTAAAAGAACCTCATGTCTTTAGACCTCTGAGCAAAATTAGGCCAAGTTTCCCGCCCAACTAATTTCCAGTTCCTCCGATAGATGGGGGAAGTATCAGGTACCACTGCCATAGGAGGGGGGACCTCTCTGACAGAAATGGACTAAAGTATTAGATACCACTGCCAAGTAGAGGGTAGAAACCTTGCTGGCAGAAAGGGACTAGGAACCCCTGCCAGAGGAGGGACGACCTCGCTGACAGAAAGGGACTAACTATTAGATACCACTGCCAGTAAGAAGTTGGAACCTCGCTGGCAGAAAGGGACTGATAGTAAGCACCAGTACCGGTAGGGTATGGAGACAGTGGAAATTAAAGGCGGACGCACAATGGACCAGTAACCGGTCTAAGTGCATGGGGAAGCCCACCCCCTCAATACGGAATACGGAAGTGATCACTTCAGCAAGTGAAGTGACTGATTCGGTATTAAATGCACAGTAAAAATAAATAAAATTATGTAAAGCTGATATGGTGTTCGTGCAAATTAGTCAGTGTAAGTTCTTCCCGTGCTGTCTGAGCGATTTCCTATACACCCTAAGGCATAATATCAGCTCTACCACATCCTGAGTAGACCGACACACCCGGATATTTCACATGAGCCGATCCTACCTCAATTATAAGCTACTTACATACGCTTACTGGCTCCAACAGTCACTACCTACATTCCCAAACACCTACCCGTTCTACAGCGAGGTCTCTAAAATGGCCGGAGCGACCGTCAAAATGAGATCGGGACTTAGCTGTGCAAGTTGAGAATTATTCTAAAAACGTGGAGCCGTCATAGAAGTGACTCACCAACAGCGGGGGGAGGGACGTTTAAATATTATGCTACACCCCATTTCTTCTTTTCCTTATTCTCTTTCATAACTTATACTTGGTTCCTGCTTTCTCGTTTAAAACAGTGAAGTACGTTACATCTTTTCTGAAGAATAATTTCGAACATAAAGCTGCCACTGTGTAAGTACATCAGAACTACCACGGAAGGAGAGCGAGAGAGCATGAATATCATTTTATATAATTTAGAATTATTAATTATTTTAAATGTCAAATTATTTTATCAGGAACGAATCTGTATTATTAAAATAAAAAACCTTAGACTCACATCTGTAAGGTCAGGTAAAGCCATCACTGTATCAGGTTATGGGGGTCCATAAGCGTGTAACGGGCTATGTAGTGTCACAGTAGAGCATAACAATTTATGGAGATCACAATATATACCTGATAATGGTCCTGTATGTCCGGAACTGTTCGCAAATTTACATGAAAATATGGACTAAATAGTGATTCGATCAATAACGCCCGAAGTTGCATTGAAGATTCTATTATATGTGAGTATATATATATATATATATATATAATTGAAGATTCTATTACATATGAGTATATAATTGAAGATTATATTATTATGTACATGTAATAGAATCTTAAATTCAACCTCGTATTATGTAAATATGTATATAAAGTCACGAAATGGTGTGACTCGTTTAACTGTTGTCGAACCAATTTACAGTTTGGCTGAAGTATTATACTTGATTTTTCTCAGATATTCCCGCCGAGGAACCCATGCTGACTGTGGACAAGTTCCGTTATGCAACTGGAGAGCAAATTCAAGCCAACTGTACCTCCAAAGCGTCGTACCCAGCAGCTAATCTCACCTGGTTCGTAAATGGGCAGCAGGTAAGAACACTGGAGTTACATCCGAAACGTCGTTATATTTGCTGACAGCTTAAGTAATCTGCTACTGGGAAGAAAAATATTCGACCATGTATAAACTCTCAGTCCTGGTCGTCTGCATGACTTTCAGTCCGCAGTGCCACGCTTATCTTATTTATCATTAGAATACCAACGTTGGAATCGTAATTCTGATAGTAAAAAGTGAGTAGTCTTTCTCTTTGGTAGTGGGCATGCGAATGTTTTATAAAGCCTTTATCTTCATGTATTAATATATATAAATACAGGTTCTGTAATGGGTGAGTTGAAGGCTGTGAAATTACGCAACACGTTGCATGAAGGTAAGTTATAGAACAGAATACAAAAGAGCGTAATTTTTTTTCTTGCAGTGTACGTTGTGTGAATATTGATAATTTTTTATACGGAACTGTGAAATGTAGTTAGTATTTATCATGGAATGTGGCTTAGTATATGAAAGTTTGGAAGGATTATTTCCTTTTCAAAACATACACGTAGAACATATTCAGATAGATCTGCTCTTTAAAATCATGCCGAGAGCCCTGATCTGCAACCAGCAGGATTACCCAAGTAGTTCTATGTAGGTAATACGACGGAAGATGTAGTTTACAAGTGCCTAAATAAATATCTTATTGAATAAAATAGGAAATTTCAGTAGCCTCTGTACATTGTCACGTATACGGGGTAGGCGTGACTAATAATTGTGGGTTCTGGATTTGATGATTGGATTTATTGGTGCTTCTTTACAATTACAGTTGTTTACAACAGTTCAAACATTGAACGTCTGGTTGGAGTATCTCTACGAGGAACCTCTCATTGTTTTCTGAATCTCGATCTAGTCTCTAATATCTCGAATTCTGGATCGCGTTGTCTACACTCTTTGTTATAACTGCTATGCGGCACGCATGGATGTTACCACGTCCAAAAGTTAATTGTCCCCGGAATCTTGTGTTTAGTAAATTGTTACCTAGCAATGACTCGTTCGCTGCTATCTGTTATAGCGGAAACTAGTGTTTACTTAGCCGCTGCTTGTCAACGGACATCTGACTCTGGCTCCACTATTCCGGCTTTCAGGCGTCATGTCACTATATATACATTCCTCCTGCTATTTTCAAGCATATGTAGCAAAGAAACAATACTCCCTTTTTTACGTACGTATATGGCTGATATCATTATACAGATCAGCTGCAGAACTTACTACAATATAATAACTTGAAGCTCCACTGAAAAATGTATCTTTTCAGAAGGCCTATGCAGGATGCTGTATAAACTTTCTTTGTTAGTCAAGATTGTTATGAAATTTACTCTGATGTGGTCGACATCATACATTTTTGGGCATCAATCTGTTTCGTTAGTGAATTTTGCAGAATTAATAACAGATTTTCTCTTTTCTCACATTTGTATGTATGGATTGCCCACATGTATGATATTGTACAGAAATGATATTATAGCATAAATGTGTATGAATCAAACAAAAAACAAACTCCGTGATTTTAGTCGACAAGCGAACTAAGAATTGCGCCACTTTTTAATTTAGCAGGCCTCTAAAATTCACTAGTTCTTCTGAATAAATTTTTATATTTGTATTTCTTCTGGTAAAGGATGATTTCCTCTGGAAACAGATATTCTGTAACAAACAGTTTCACTGACCAACAAATTTCATGGAGCTGAGCCCCTCTTGAGAAGCCGCCAATTGTGCAGCTACTCAAGAACTTCCCAGAATTTTGTGGAACTCGAAGGGTCATTACCGTGTTCACAAGAGCCCTCCGCTTGGCCCTATTCTAAGATCAATCGAATACATACCATTTATTCTATGTCTCTGTAATCCATTTTAATATTATTCACCCACCTACCTCTTGGTCTTCATATTGGTCTCTTTCCTTCTGGCTTTCCCACGAATACCTTATATGCATTTCTTTTCTCCCCCATTCATGCTACATGTCCTGCCCATCTCATCCTCCTCGACTCAGTCACTCTAATTATATTTTGGGAAAAGTACAAGTTATGAAGCTCCTCATTATGCAGTTTTCACCTGTTTTCGGTCCAAGTATTATCCTCAACACACTGTTCTCGAACACCCTTAGTCTGTGTTCCTGCATTAATGTCAGAGATCAAATTTCACTCCCATACAGAACCACAGACAAAATGATAGTTTTGTATGTTCTGATTTCTGTATTTTTAGAAAGCAGACGAACGATTCTGGAATGAATGGTAACAAACATTACCCGAATTCAATATCCTCTTAATTTCATTCTGAGTCAATTTTTGGTATTTACTGACGTTCCAAAAAATTTAATTCTGCCACATATTGAAAGGAATTTTTTAACTATCCGAATATCACGATTTTGCCCTGCATTCTGGTGACAAGACAGCAACATCTGCGTAGTTTTCTCTGCATTTACTTCTAGACCAGCCTCCTTACTAATGTCAAAGCTTCTGTTTCTCTTCGTGATGTCTACGTTACCTCTCAGTAGACTCACATCCTCAGCGTAGACCAGCAGCGGATGTGTTCATTTAATTCCAGTTCCAACATGTTCTCCGTTATTAACATTCTCAGTGTATGTTATGTTTCAGTGGGTATTTCTTTGGTTTTTATAATTCACATTTTATTCAATGGTCCAATATTACGTGTAGTGAAAAATACGACGCATTGACAGGACATTTTTATATCTATTAACTCTCATTTCTCTTCCACTGAGCACCATATCATCAGCTGTGTTAAATATCCTTCAGTATTTCGATCTTAAATCCGGTATGGGGGAAAATTTTAAGAGTTAAAAGACATCTATTCTTTTACCGCAGTTAAAAATAGTCCCTTACGAGCAGTGGTTAAGGATCGTTTTTCCTACTCAGATCTTCCTGATTTTGATTATAGGATTGGGGATTGGCTGGCTCAGGTGTTACTTGTTGCAGATTTTGGGTTAGTATAGTAAAGCAAACCACAATCCCTGCAATCCCATATATTTCTCAGTTCATCATCACATTACTTTTACCATTGTATGCATAGCAAGCCTGTCAGGTAGAGTTTCTGGGCACGGGTACTTGATCAGTCACTGAATCAGGCCTCTTTAAATTTATCCTTACTTTTACTTAGTCGGGTTAATTTTGGGTAAGGAAATGGAAGTGAGGAACATATCTAACTTTCCAGGCACGTCATACGTCCATTTTTAACTGGGGTACAAGTGTTTTTTTTCAAACTTAAGGAAAACAGAATTCTCACATAGTGATACGTTTTAAGCACAGATTACAATAAATTACTAACTCCTTGGCTTATTTCCAGTTGACTGGACCCCGACATCGAATATGTTTTTCATTTCTATATTGATATAACTAAATCATCTTTCAAAATGCATGATTCTTCGTACTGAGTTTCTTTTCCTTAGGAAAACAAAATTCTCTTCTCCAGATTTATTTCCTGTTGCTGGAGTCAGCTTTCTTTACTCCGCTGTCTATTCCGTCAGAATCGCTAGTTTTATGACTTTCTCCATTTAGTTTCTTACATCAGGTGTTTCTATAGTATTTTCATTTAAATTTCCAAGAATATTGTTAGCTAGAATAGCGTGATAAATGCTTCTTGAAACAGTATCGCAATCTATACTGTTCGAAGTAGAAAAATCAAGATCACAATTTTTAATACTAAATTTGAGTAGCCCGTTACAATGGTTAATGATTTGTTTTGCATGAGCAAACTTGAATATACAAAAAAAAAAAACTAAGTGGTTTTGGTCCGCAAGCGAGCTACACCGACCGAGCGACCGCCGCTTGTCGGCGAAGTTAGTGCCAAATTTAGCGCATAGAGGGTGTCGGTGGTCAGCGAAACGGATCCCCACGGCCGTTAATTTCGGTTTTCTAGACCGAATTTTGAATATACAACTTGTTTTATTGCTCGTTGAATGTTGATGTTCTAGGTGGTCATTGATTTACAAATGTCACTTCTACAACACGTCATAATATGTTGTAGAAGTGAGATCTAATAGCCTGTGACGATGTTACATCGGTACAAATATTATGTTTTGGACATTATCTGTCGTCTTATCTCCATCTAAAAACCGTCCTGTTTATTTTTCAAAAAGGGACTTGCTCTGTGTGTTGGGCCCAACTCAGTACGTTTTACCTGAAGACGGAGACAGTATCCAGTCTCCGAAATGCTGTGTTTTGAAAAATAAACAGGACGATGTTTAAGATAAAGACAAGACGATGGGTAATGTCCAAAAGGATAATATTTGTGTGTTGTAGAAGTGACATTTATACAAGAATGACAAAGTGACACATCAGCAATCTAGGAACACAACAAGAAGTTCCACTTTCAAGACTGCCCACGAAAATTAAATCATTACAATTTTTAGTCTCTTATTTTGGTATGTTACTAAGGTAAATTCGTATCAACTGCTGATATTGGGATGTGATAGGTTGATGATAATGATGAATCTCAGGGTAGGTTGAAATGATTGTGGCTCTCCTTAGACCACTAACCTAAGGCCGCGACATAGCTTATGCGGTTAGTCGCTGGCTTCCCACCGCGGCGTCCCGGGTTCGATCCCGGGTCTGGTCAAGTTGGATTTGTGGTGGAAAAACTGGCGCTGGGGCAGGTTTTCTCCGAGTACTTCGGTTTCCCCTGCCAATCTTCATTCCACCAATTGCTCCACAATCACCCTCACCTATCATCTGGGGCTGGTACAATAGGCCAGAAGTGGCCGCTGTACAAGGGACTTAGTCCCACCCCACTAGCAATAAAAAAGTTAGTCCACTATCCAAGCATTCGCCTGGATGGAGGGAAGACAAAAAGGCTTCCGCTAGGATTGACTTCGACAACGTGACTGATCGCAACAAATTTTCAATTACAGTCTGACCCATAAATTCTGTGACAACACTTTCACTGAATGACAGGACCTGCCATATATTACAAATACGTAGTAAAACAAACAATGCGTGCTTATAGAATTTTAATAGGGAAACATCTTAGAATATGGCTACTAGGAAGAGTGGAA